ACTGAGGAATTTTTTTAAATAGCTCTTTCAGAATGAGTGATAGGTTAGGTCAGTGCTTCTCAAGCCTGAATGTGCAAACAAATCACTCAGGGATCCTGTTTGGTTCCTATGCAGCAGGCCTACGGCAGGGCCTGAGGCTCTGCTTTCTAACAAGCTCCCTGGTGATGCTGATGGTGCCTCTGGTCTATCTACCAACTTTTGGGTAGCACAAGGTTAGGTAACCTTACTAAGAGTGCTTGGAGCAAGTTGGAAGAAATGGAGCTTTTGTTGTTATCATTTATTTGGAAGAGTGGACTCCAGTAGCTGATGTTTTCAAGAGACTGTAAATATGTGTTCAGCCAAGCTTGTAAACATTTACCTCCTAAGCTATCCTTAATTATGATAGTCTACCTCTTGCTTTGTCCTTGCAGGGGTCTGAAGCAGCCAGTAAAGGAGACTTTCTCTTCAGCAGTGATCACCTGATTGAAATGGCCACCAAGCTGTATCGGACGACTCTCAGCCAAACCAAACAGAAGCTCAATATCGAAATTTCTGATGAGTATGTACATAATCGTTTGAATGTGCCGTCTCACTTTTAGCTTTATTGCTGTAGTCGAGCACTCCAGTCTCATCTGTTTATACAGCCGCTCCCTTTAAGCAGTGAGTGTGTGTCTGGGGTTTGTTCTAAATGGTGGATGGGCAGTGAATGGTGCTGGTCTAGTCCTTGCCTTCATGTCCTGGACATCCTGGTGAAAGAGATAAATATGCATAAATAAGAAATAGGAGATATGACTTTGGTTAGTGACAAGTGCCTGTGGAGGGAAACAAAGCAGGGTAAGGGCCAGAGGGTGCTCTATTTTTGATAGGGAGGTCAGGGAGCCTTGTTTGATGCCGTGACATTTGAGTCAAGACTGGAATCAAGGGAGCAAGCCAGGCAACAACCCGGGAGGTGCCTTCCAGGGCAGAGGACAGCAGGTGTAAAGGCCCTGAGACAGCAGTGAAAGTGGCAGAGTGAAATGGTAGGAAAAGACTCGGGAGAGACAGGCGGAGACCCGGCCATGTAGAGCTGGAGGAACTTAGCTAAGGAGCTGAGATTTTACTGTGGATGATAGAATGCCATTACGGGATTTAAGCAAGGGGGCGGCATGATCCAATTTGTGATTTTCAAAGATCGCTTTGGCTGCAGCATGGAAAATAGCTCTAGGGAGGCAAGAGTGGAAGCAGAAAAAAGTTAGGAGCTTCTCTGAGCTGTCTAGGATGATGTGGCTTAGGCTAGGGTGTGAGTGGGAGGTAGTGAGAAGTAGTCAGATTCCAAATGTAATTTGGAGGAAAACAAGAGGACTTATTAACAGATTAGATGCTAGATTTGGGGCCTGAGCCCAAATGGTGGTACCATTTACTGCAATAGATGACACTGAAGAAAGAGCGGTTTGGGGGTGGCCAGGGGGCGTGAAGTCAAGAGTGCTGTTTTGGATGTGTTATATTTGTGACGCCTTTTTTTTAACCAAATCACTGAGGAATTTTTTTAAATAGCTCTTTCAGAATGAGTGATAGGTTAGGTCAGTGCTTCTCAAGCCTGAATGTGCAAA